TTCACTTACGAACTGACCATGCTGCACTAAAATGGCTATTGCAGTTTAAAAATCCAGAAGGACAAGTTGCGAGGTGGATTGAACTATTGCAGGAATACGACTTTGAGATCGAACATCGCAACGGGAAATCTCATGGCAACGCAGATGCATTGTCAAGAAGACCTTGTCCTGAAGATTGCAAACATTGTACTAGGCAAGAGAGTAAGGAAGTGGTATCCGTGAGGATGCTCAGGGCAGACCACCTCAGCAACGAGTGGAAGGACAGCTTACAACGTGCACAGCAGGAAGATCCGGACATCAAGCCGATCCTGGAATGGATGAAGGCCAGTGCTCCCAAGCCCAAGTGGAGCGACGTCTCAGCGATGAGTTCGACCACTAAAAGCTATTGGGCCCAGTGGGACAGCTTGCTGCTTCAGGATGGAGTTCTGTGCCGTAAATGGGAAAATGTTCGGGGAGACAGCTGTCATTTACAAATGGTTGTCCCTAAAGCTAAAGTACCGGATGTTCTACAGCTGTACCATAATTCAGGAGGCCATCTGGGAGTTAAACGAACTCTACTGAAGATCCGAGAACGGTTTTACTGGGTCCACTGTCGAAACGATGTCGAGGACTGGTGTCGCAAATGTACAAGTTGTGCGGCTGTAAAGGGACCTCAGACTCGTAGTAGAGGTGCATTGAAGTTGTACAATGTTGGTGCACCATGGGAGAGAATAGCCATTGACGTGGCGGGGCCGTTTCCGGAGAGTGAAAGCGGTAACAAGTATTTCATGGTTGTGATGGATTACTTCACTAAGTGGCCAGAAGTCTTCGCCATTCCAAATCAAGAAGCTTCAACAGTTGCAGATAAACTAGTTCATGAAGTCTTCTGTCGTTTTGGAGTACCTTTAGAGATTCACAGCGATCAAGGAAGGAATTTTGAGTCTCAAATATTCCAGGAAACTTGCCGAGTTATGGGTACTCATAAAACAAGAACGACTTCTTATCACCCGCAATCTGATGGAATGGTGGAACGATTTAATCAGACATTGGAGAGGTACCTAGCAAAAGTTGTAGACAATCGGCAACGAGATTGGGACAAGCACATACAACCGTTTTTGTTGTCATATCGAAGTTCTGTTCACGAAAGTACAACAGTGACACCAGCTTTCGCAAACTTTGGAAGAGAATTACGGCTGCCTGCAGACCTGATCACCGGGATACCACCTGATGCTCCACGTAGTATAACCGATTATGCAAATGACTTGCGGAAAAAAATGAATGACGTTTATGAGCACGTCAGACAATCGGGCCAGCAAATGTCTGAAAAGATGAAAACCCGGTATGACCGCAAAATGAACAACAAAGGGTTCGACGAAGGTTCACTTGTGTGGTTGCACAATCCAGTCCGCAGCAAAGGGAAATCTCCTAAGCTTCAAGCTAAATGGGACGGCCCGTACCGGATTGTAACCAGGATCAACGATGTGACCTACCGGATACAGAAAGGCGCAAGAGGGACTCCTAAGATCGTCCATGTGGATCGCTTGGCGCGTTATTATGGGACCGATAATGCTCGGGACGAGCATGTCTTAGGAGGGGGCAGTGTTGCATGAATAAGTCAACTAGCGCCATCTAGTGTCAGGAACGAGAGCGAGGGGAGCATTGAGAAAATGACATCACAAATCACTCAACCGACAGCGCCTAGTCGAAACTCGAACGCTCGGTACCTTGCGCGTGTTTACTTGAACATTCTGGATATTTCTTTGCTAATTTAAATATATAGGCGCTGCAAGATGCGATGGGAGTAGTGTTGATTTGGCGAAACAAGCGAAGCTTCGGAGCGGAATAAAGTGAATAAGTGTGTTTAATTATTAGTGTTTTTAACTTTAATTTGTGTAAAGTAAATTAAAGTGTTAATTTAGGTAATTTTATCGGCAATTTTTATTGTCACGAACCTCAAGCTCGTAACAATATTTAATAAATTTTTGTTAAAAGAATCAATCATATCGTTTATGTTATCTGACGATGCACAGTGCCAGTTAATTTGTTTTAAATCTTGGTTGAAAATGTTTATGTCCATATCCATTAAAGGTCTATACGTGACGCTTTCAGGCTGAAACTTAGGCTTGGGAATGTCAAGTTCACATACAATAAAGGCATGACTACTGAGGTCACTAATATAGTCCACACTTATATATGACACCGATGCATCTGAACATATAACATCTAACAGTGTCTCACTATATTCAGTAAAGTGTGTTGGTTCCTCAACATATTGCACGAGGTTATTGCATGTTAGGAAGTCCGAAAGCATTTTGGTACTAACACAATTTTTATTTAAAATGTCGATATTAAAATCCCCAAGCAGTACTGTTTGATCGTAGCCTACAAAAGAACCTAAGGACTCGCTCAGCGCGTCCAGAAATAATGTCACGCTCAACCATGGAGGACGATAAGCAGTACCGAAGACAAGGGACTTGCCGTTAATTTTAATATTTAACCATATCTGCTCCACCGCGGGACAAATAGGATGTTGAATAATTTTTGACGACAAGCCCCGTCTCAAATAAAAACCCACACCGCCTCCACGCGCACGAACTTCGGGAGGTCGGGATACGTGAAGCAGTCGATACCCTAGAACAGAAGGCGTCCGGCCTTCCTCCCCTGTCCGAAGCCATGTTTCATTGATAGCCATTATGTCTACAGAGTGATGCTCCATAGCAGCTAGGAATTCGTCGTGCCTAGCACCAAGAGACCCGGGATTCAAGAAGCCAATTTTCAACTTATTTAATTTAGTCATTTTCAAAGAATTTATAATAATACGAAAACGTTATAAAATTAATAATAACCCAAACAAAACCATAATAAAGGAGACTATGATACCACTGCTCATGTACTGTCAAATACATTTCTATGTATGGGCCACAGTTATAAGTTATAAAAAAACATAATTGATTGCCGAATATATTATCCGACAATATCCTGTCGCCATTTCCCGTTATGCTGCTACACGTTAGAAAGCAAACATTAAACCTGTCACAATATTCATTATAACAAAAGACAAAGAATAAATGTGATAATATTAAAAGTGTAACTACATAATAATAACAGACAAAAAATTTACTCCATACTCCATAAACGTATGCAAAGCAACTTAACAAAAATAAAATGTAACCTAATAATAAAATGGAAATAAAATGTAGTCTAGATAAAAATAAAAATAAAATGTCCTCGTAATAGCAGCTACGTAGATGCGTAGGGGAAACAATCATTAAAAATAATTATAATCTAGACGACAGCCAAATTGACATCGTGCAAGAAGTAACATAAAGAACAGGATTAAAATTCCTTCAAACTATTCAATCCCCAAAAATTTTGTTTATATCTATTTCTGTTCGAATTCTATAACGGGGTGAACTAGAATCACGACGCGCAAAAATGCATCCTTCCCGCGTCCACACATATCTCCAGCCTTTGCGGCGCCCTTCTTCCCGTGCTTTATAAAATAATTGCCTATTGATTGAGGTGAGCCGCTCATTAAAGCGGGCTACATACGACACGATATCGGTGGCGATCTAGGGTGGAGTAGTGGGGATGCCTCCTAGATTGCCTCTAAATCGTGTCGTATGTAGGGCCATCCTAAGTCGTGGCCGATATCGCCTCCTTAATCGGCTGGCAGGAGCAAAAATGCTTCCTAGATCAGCCGATGCTTCCTAGATCGGGGCACCGCCCCCTCCTTACTGCGTGTGTGTAGGCGCATCGGCCCGATTTCTTTTGGCAGTCGCTGCCGGCAACCCTCGCGGAAGGAAGTTAACAAAATAGTGATACTGAATGACCTTTTTTATATAACAAAATTTTTACATTTTAATCATATAAACGGAGTAGAAGCCTATGGCACTGATATTTTACAAAAAACCAAAAAAAAAAGTGAATAAAATAAATAAATTAATTGAAATTTTATCGAAATTCAAATCATATCCACCCTAGCCTGTGACCCTGCGAAGTGACATGGTCAAGAGTGCCTACTAAACTAATATTTTTTATTGCCGTTCGTAAAGTAGAGTGTATGATGTAAGTAAGGAGAAGATAAAGCCTCTCCTCAACAACTAACTCCTATTCCAACGCTATCAACACAAGACCGCACTCATATCTCTTACAACTCACAAGACCACACTTCGATCTCTTACGTGCCTTCATCCTCTTATCAACAACTAACTTCTACTCCTTCACCATCTCCACATCAACAAACAAGTTATATAAAAGGGAGTATGTCCGAAATTAAAGGTTTCTTTATGTTTAAAAAAAGATATAAGCTATTTTATTTTCTGATAGTTTTACTCCATAAATAAAGATTACATTAAAAAAAAAGTATACATATTATTATACAAAAGTATTTTATTTCCTTGTTTGTTGTGTGTAATACATAACCAGATTTTGACCAAAGCAGAAATGAACAAAGAGAAGAAATAACTAAATAGCATAGGTAGGAGAAATTGACGTTTTTATATAAGTGGCGAAATCATTTCTAGAAGGTTATAAACACTGTCTTCATCCATCCGGAGAAAATTAATGACGTCCTTGGATTACAGGCCATTTAGTACGTTTATGTGGCTTAATTTTTATCTCTTTTGGAGCCATTTTTTCACCCAGCAACTCCTCTTTTTCTATTTTCGAATAAATTTACCGATAGGGCTAATGCCAAACCAACACATTGGTGTTTTAAGAGAGTCGAAGCTATTTTGAAGAACTCTACCGCATATGCGTTCCGCTCCAAGTCCGAACGCGTACTGCTAGGCAGGCCCGTGTGTAAGGTCTACCCCGATAAAAGCCCCGATTTCTTTCCACCCTAGATCGCCACCGATATCGTGTCGTATGTAGCCCGCTTAACATAAAATCGGCGCGGCTCGTCACCTAAGTTCAAACCGGCAGTATCCGCCCCTCGCCGAGCGCGCGCTTCGTGAATTAGTTTATCTCGAATCACTCGACGAGCGAGACGGACAACTAACGGACGCGGCCTTCGCTTGTCACCGCCTTGCACTTACAACATCGCGCTCGTCCAATTCAGTGCCAATTTTAGCCGCAAGCATAGTGACGAGGTGCAAGGGGTTTTCGCCCTTCTGTTCTATTACACCAGATATTTCCAGATCGTTTAAAAGTAATTCTTGATCACGCTCGTTAAGTCGACACTTTAACTCCGCTATGCTATCTTCGACCTTGGACCCTCCGGGTTGACTCGGCAAGTCCGTTGCCTGCTGCTCAAGACATGCGATCCTTTTCTCGACGTCGCTAACCCTGTTACTTATTTCACTAACATTAGAATTAATGTTAGTGATTTCGTGGCGAAAAGATACCATTTCGCGGGCAATAGTAGTCAACTGCTCGCGTATTAATTTTAGCTCGTTTGCTAAGTCGACATTAGTTTACCCCCTGCACTCTCACTCGCACATAAATTTTTTGCCTTACAACCGCTGCATTGCCATTTATTTGATATTCGGCCGTCAATAGGAATACTAGCACATTTGCGATGAAATAAATGAGTGCAACTTGAGCACTTTATCGAGTCCACTGTAGAAGCAAAACGACCACAGGCGCCGCACTCATTTGCCATTTTTATTTACAAGTACTTTATTTAGATGAAAGTTAGACCAATAGATGTCGCTGAACGAAGTTTGTATTAATTATGTAATTTGATATGTATAATTATAAGAATGTTTAATAATTAGCGATTTACTATATACTATTTACCTTGCTAACATTTAACTATTTAAGGTTTGTTAAATAACTTAAATATTTACCGCAGCAATTTGCAATACGGTTTGATGACAAACAGCTGATCTTGTTACGAACAGCTGATCACTATTTTGCACTGTAACAACCAACGACCACTGTTTTCACTTTATTCTACTAATGTATCTTATAACACTACTAAAATTGATTTTAAATATACTTTTTTACTTATTTAAAAATGCTGTTTTATATTTAAAATAATTTTTAATACGGGACACAAGCACTTGACAGCCGACCAAGCTACCCGCGAGCCAATCTCGGCAATCTTCCGCCAATCTTGGCATACGCTTTACATTCTCGATTTCGGCTAGAAGAGCATCTCAACCCTACCGAATCTTCTTTCGAGAGCGTTCATTATTTCTTAAGGTTCACACAAAGTAAACAACAATGACTTAACCGCTTCCTTAGCGGTGCCCTTTAATGCTCTCCTAAGGCGTGCGACATTCTGCACCCCTGAAAATTAGCTTCTTGTGTCTTCAAACACCGTTTTGAAAATTATCCATTCACCCGGGTCTCCATCGAAGACCGGTAATTCCTGGAGGAAATGAAGCTGGGAAGACTTATCTTTACCCGCTATCTTTATTGCACTCACAATCGCTTCGGTCAATTCTGACACCTCACACGCGTGTGCTTTCTGTGCATTTCCTAGGTTGCGCTCGAACTCCGCCCCTTTGCGGCGTGATCCCGTACACGCTCCCTTATCAGTAATGTCGGGTTGCGTTACACTAACCGGCGCGCTCAGTATGGTCTGTTGAACCCAACTCCTTACGAAAGGTTCCACCTGAGTATTCGGCTCTTCATCATCCTCACTCGAGTCGATCTCCTCTTCTCGGTTGAGTCGTGCCAACTCCAATTGAGACTTGGCTAAGACAGCAGCTGCCTGTGCTCGTTCGAGCTCTGAACGTTCGAATTTATTCCGCGCCTTTAATTCGGCTTTCAGCCTCGCCGATCGCGATGACCTACTACCTCTCTGTGACCCTTTGTCACTAGTGTGCCCGATTACTGTTCTTAACGATGCCGCTTCTTTGGTCCCTTGACCTACTTTTTCGACTATCGTTTCACTCCTGGATATAACGGATTTCTGTGCGGCGCTGGTCTGCGTACCACTGGTGTCCGTCCTGTTGTTTGTCATTGCTACGGACGCCCCTGAGTCCCACGTGCATGTGGACGTATCGGTGGTGGCTCCACTTGAAGGAGTTGCCCCACTCGAAGCAGTAGCTGTGGTCGCTCCAAATGATTCCACCTCTTTAGCCTTTCTTGAGAGCCCTGTTCTTGTCCTGGTTCCTTCGCTCCTCTCTGTCTGGTCTTGTGCCTTCTTCATCTTGCAGGAAGGTGATTGTTGGCCTACGGTCCCTAACTATCCCTACGGTCCCTACGGTACCTACAACCCTCCCCCCCTTTATCTCCCAACCCTACAACCCTACTACCACCCTAACAGCCCTATCAGCCCTATCAATCCTGGACGGGAGCCTACCGTGGTGAGCTGTCCAGGGATGGAGTCGTGCAGGAATGGAATGGAGGAAAGGTTTAGGAACTGTCCCGCCAAGGAATATGGCGAAACAGTCGAGCCAGTAGTGCAAGCGCAGTCTCGCCCGAGAGAACTGTTCCACCCGAAGGTGTTGTGCCAGAGCCCGACCGGTTTGGCACCGTTAGGGGGTCGGTATGTATGCTGTGCTCGCCGCCCAGTCGCCGGTGATGCCTCGTCCAGGCACTCTCCTACGGCCGCGATGCAGTCAGGTGCCCTCACGAGCACCCTCGCCTGGCAGCAGCAGCGGTGGATGCTTCTTCTTCTTTCTTGCACCCTTGCCTGGCAACAGTGAGTGCGTCCTCTTCTTTCTTGCACCCTTGCCTGGCAACTGTGAGCGCTCCCGCGTTGGTAACAGCAAACACCAAACGCCTTTGAGCGCTACAGGAAATGAAAACACAATCCCGTAGAGGAAATGCCGAGCCTGATGACCCAACAGGAAATGCCGGATACGGTCGTCCGACAGGAAATGCCAACTATGGCCGTCCAGTGGAAAATGCCGAGCACGCTTGCCCGACAGGAAAAAATGCCAAGCCCTGCTTGGCCACGATGAACGCCTTCAAAAGGCACTTGCGCCTGGCTGCGATACGTGCGCCATGCGAGCACACACCCCAAGCCGCAATCCCGGTTTTCTTTCTTCCGGTAGCTACCAATATTCCAGGTCCGGTCCTGCCTAAGCCCTGATGGGCCTACTGCGCTGGCCTGGTCTTCTTGCCTTTGGTCCTGTTGCTTCAGCTCAAACCTCCGGCTTCCTTCGGTCGCTGATCTTCACTCGGCTCCGAAGGTCCTCTTGAATGGTTCACAGCTGGTTCCTTAAATCCGGCTTCTCGAAGGACCACTTGAAAAGGAACGGGAACGAGAGGTCGCTTGCTACTTGATCCAGCTGCCAAGGAGCAATTGAAAAAGTACAGGAACGAGGGATCGTTCTTGTCACGGCTCGTTCAGCAGCGGATTTCCTACCCTCCTATGACACCTACGTTGGGTTCGGGAACAACGTATGTGAACCCCGCAACGGAGTAACACACAAGGGCGTCGACCTCTTCCTTTTCTTCAAATAGGTTCAGGCGGGGATTACGGGTCTTCCGAGGTCGTCCCGGTCCCAACGCCCTAATTCTTCAATATGTGCCGCGCTATCGACACCAATGAACTGTACTTATTTTAAAGGTGAAGGATTCCTTGGGAATAAAACAGTAATTATCTTCAAACCGTTCCGTGAGAGAGTAATTACTTTCCCTATCACTTCCCTATATACTTTTCTTTCTTGATTATATTATATACTGGTAGCTGGTCCCGAACGATTTGTGTGAAAACCAGTTTACTGAGGTATCACCAAGCTATACGCGAAAGAGAGCCGCGCATTCTGTGCGATTACGCTACCTAATTACATCAATTTGTACTATCACTCTCTCACGGTTTGCCCAATGTCTTTATTTGTATAAGAAATACATTTATACATTTTATTTATAAAGATAGCACAAAAAATATCTATATTATGATATACATTACATTTTTATATCACAAAAAACCTTTTATTCATTCAACAAAATATAAGGTTGAAACAATGTTCTTCATTTGAAAATGTAAATATCTTAACTAATACAATAGTTTAATTTACATTTTTCCTATCCATTTTACTATATAAACACTTTTAAATTTCTTACAGAAAACTATCAATATTTCACTAATCCAAAGGAATTTTCACATGAAAATAACACAGAATTCACCTATTTTGCTCATACAGTCAATCAGAAATATTTTACAAGTCAATTTTACATGAATTGCTGAAATTTGCAAATATTTAAATTTCTACTTATTTTGACCTCCTAAGTAGGTACAAGGTTAACGCGCGGCTATGAACTCACGCTATTTGAACAACTAATTCTTACACGACTCTCAATTGTCGGTAAAAGGTGGCAAATTTAGCACACACTGCCATCAACCAATACTAGGTGAACAACTGATTCTACACGACTCCCAAATTGTAGGAAATTATTTTTAACTAGATTTTTATCAGTTATCATGTTCCTTATCAGATAACACAAACAAACATTTTATGAATCAAACTTTGAAAATAAACATTTCACTCTCATACAAAACGTATCAAACTTATATAAGATAATACTTATGCAATTAATTTTCATTAATTCTATTTATACACAAAGTGATCTTTTCGACCGGGGAACAAATCCTGGTCTCTAACTTTATTTTAATATTCCTTTAAATTAACAATACTATTGGAAAGGTGATTTCAACCGGGGAACTGAACCCGGAAACATAATTTATATCTTAAAAATTCCCTATATGAATTTATTAAGAAAATATTACTAAGAAAAACGACAAACTAGTCCGGCCTGGGAATCGAACCCAAGACCTTCAAATTATTAATTCGATATTTCTTTAAGATTCAACTAAGTGTTTTCTTATTAGAATATTATTGCTCGATAATTTGTTTTTAGAAGCTGTTCGTAATCGGTTAACTAATAAATTGAAATATTCTTATAGCCGCGTCGCCAACATACAGGAATATGTAACAACAACCTTGAGTGAATACATTTTCCATCAGAATTTATAAAATGTAGCTATGGTTTCTGTGACGACATGAGTCATAGGAGTGTCATAGATGATTTATATAAAAACATAGTGTCTGTTTTATCATGTGCATCAATCAAAACTCACCAAGGAAATATGTGTAAAAAGAAAAAACGTGTGCTAATAGGGTGGAATAAGCATGTCGGTGAGGCACACAGTGAGGCACATAGTGAGGCACACAGTGAGGCACACAGTGAGGAACACAGGGAGGCACACAGGGAGGCACACAGTGAGGCACACAGTGAGGCATACAGTGAGGCACACAGTGAGGCACATAGTGAGGCACCGGAGGCACACAGGGAGGCACACAGTGAGGCACACAGTGAGGCACACAGTGAGTCACACAGTGAGGCACACAGTGAGGCACACAGTGAGGCACACAGTGAGGCACACAGTGAGGCACACAGGGAGGCACACAGGGAGGCTAGGTCCAAATGTATGATGTGGGTATGGTATGGTCAGTGGTAGTGGTTAGTGGTTCATTATAGAGCTTTATAGGTGGTACTACACTAGGACATTTACTGCCAGCCCTTATACAGCAACTTATACGTGGTAGAGCCATGCTGCAGTTTTATTTGTAGTACCTATAGTTGTAGCACGAATGGGTCGACTCGATCGGGGAAGGACCACACTATCACAGAATACCAGCGTAAAATATTAGCTTAATGCTGCTGTATTTCGTATGGTGAGCGTAGAGAACCGGAGGCCCTTTTTACTGGACATGAGGCATTCCATCTTAGTCCTCAGGGGCGACAACGCATTTGCATTTTGATTCGTAGTCGAGGATAGATGTAGATGTCTATGGGCCACAGCAACCACTTACCATCAAGTGGACTGTGTGCTCGTATGTAGTTTGGGTATGCGCGGTCCGTCACAGTCTCTACATCACCTGAGGGTGCCTCGTGTAGAGGCGAAACACGTGTCGTATTGTCGTCGATGGTGTGTCTTTCCTGGAATAGTGGTGTTGGGAGAAGTGGTGCCGGGAGCAGTGGTGTTGGGAGTAGTGGTGCTGGGATTAGTGGTGACGGGATTAAAGCACGCAATTGAGGGAGGGCGGGAGGTGCTCTTCAATCCGGGTAAGACACATCATTGTATTTAATTGAATTGATGGTTGCGAATTAACTATTAATATCTTTGTTATAATGGATTTCCGCAAAGTAACGCATGATTCTATCAATTATTTTTGATCGATTCACACAAAGTATATGCCATATTGAAGATAGTAAGACACTTAGATTAACGTCACGGACGCCCGTCCTGAGATACATAGTTAGTGAGTCGGAAGAGTTTATGTAAATTTAAAATTATTTGGACGTTGTTTAAGTTAGAATTTTTGTGCAAAAGTTAAACATCTGTGTACTGCGAACCTTATATGGTGTGGATACATTAGAGTGTTTAGTGACTAGTGAATAAATAGTAAAAAAAAAAAACATTTACATATTAAAAACATTTTATTTTTAAATGTCATCGAATAAAATTTAATAACATACTACCGTCATATAGTACTGATCAACACAGCTCCATCTCACGCTTCCGTTGTGTACTAATAAATCAACGCATAATTTTGCTTTATCAACTACTCGTATTAAAACTTGTTGATCATGGCAGTTAAGTGCAGTGCGTGCGGTAAATACATGTCTCCGCAAAAAGACTACATAAAACAACGCAATGGCAGGCGTCGTGCCGAAAAGGCGCTAATGTTACTTGTACAAAGTGCAATAAACAGCTACATCGTGCGTGTGTAGGCATCCCAGTGGGCGCTTCACTAATGCCATCCTGGGCTTGCCCTGAATGCAAATTGAAAGAAAAACGTTGCAACAAGGACACAACGCCGATAAAACCCGCAACAATTACTGTTGCTAATTCGAGTGAGGTTTCAAACCTCGGAGAGGAATTGCGATGTTTCCGAGAAGAAATGCGACAAACCCGCGAAGAATTTCGGGCATTCAGAGAAGAACTTCAGGACATAAGAAACCTTGTCAGCAAATGCGACGCTCGTTTAGATAAGCTCGAGAACACGGTCCAAACTATCCTGGAATCACAAGAGCAATATGGCTCTCAAGGATTCAAAATTGAAATCCTAAAACTCGAGTCGACCGTCAATCAGCTGCAAGCCGACTTAAACGATAGGGATCAGGAGTTGCTTGCAAATGACGTCGAATTAAGTGGCATTCCAGAGGAGAGTGGGGAGAACCCAACACACTTGGTTCTATCAGTTGTGACCAAGCTTGGTGTTCATTTGGAGGAAAAGGAACTGGTCCATTGTATGCGAGTGGGGGGCGTCCGCCGGTCTCTAACAACCGAGGCTCTAGGTCTTAAGTCCGCACCCTGCAATATCTATATAAACGAACGACTGACTAAAACAAATAGGCAGTTGTTTCGCATGGCACGCGAGACAGGCCGCAAGCAGGGATGGCGATATGTTTGGACGAAGGGAGGCCGAATTTTTGCACGTCGGGAAGCAGGAGCTCCAATAAATCGCATTCGCTTCAACGCGGATATTGCTAAGGTTTTTGGGTCCGAATTTGTTCGATCACCATAACTGTCTCTCAGTTTACCTACAAAAATGAATTAGTGTTTTTAATTTCTTTATTTAATTTTGTAACTATTTACTATCGTCAATTGTTTTGTGGGTACTCGTATATACCCATAGTTATTAATAAGATTTATTTACAACTTCGAAATAATACGAAATCCCATTTAAAAATATATAGTTGGCCAAGTTATCGTAATAAGCTATTTGCATTTCCATTTACAGTCATAAAATATTTGCTACCCATATACATTATTTGTTATAGTCTTTTGAATTTTATTAGTGCATCATTTGTTATTAACTGTTTACCAAACAAAGTAAATGTCTTTTTACATTACTCAGACTTTATAAAGCTTGACGCTCATTGTTGTTGTTATTATGTGTGTAGTAGGACAATGTCTACAGGGCCGATACGTATGTATATTTATGTTACTTCCTTTATAAGCTTTATAGGCATTAGTTATTTAAATGTAAGAAAATATGTATATCCCCTAAATCCTACCCGTTATAATTATTTGCTAAATTCAGTTAACATTCTTATGATATCACAAACCTACAACAACATAAATAGAGTAATGAAACAAGCTCAGAGTAGGAACAATTATTGTGAGTATTACTCTGATATTTGTTGGTCAAAGATATCAATTGTGATTATTCCTTTATATCATACAATATGACAAGTAATCTTAAGTTAGGGCTTCTAAATGTAGGTTCACTAGGTACAGGCCATGAAGAACTAGTAGTAGCTATAGATCGCCACGCTGTCGATTTAATGGCGATTAACGAAACTTGGTTGCATGAGGGTGAGGAAGCGCGCGCGCCCGCGGTGCCAGGATACCGGTTACGTCACATTCCCCGACCGACCAATGTGCGCTCGCGAGTTGGCGGAGTTGGCTTCTACATACGGCAGGGTCTAGCTGTTAGAACGTTGCCTCATCCTTCGACTCCGCTTGTAGAACAGATGTGGCTTGCTCTAACTATTAACGGTACTAAGATCGCGATTGGTACTGCCTATAGACCACCATGGTTAAACGTAGACACATTTTTCGATGCTTTGTCTGAAACTATCGGGACTCTTGCATGGTGCAATTATATAATCTTGTTAGGGGACTTTAATATAAATGTATTGAACACCGCGGATAGTAATTATAAAAAACTTAGAGAATTCTTACAGTGCTACAAACTGAGCCAATGTGTAACTGAACCAACTCATTTCACCGATCATAGTCAAACCTTAATAGATATAGTTTGTACAGACATCCAGCAATACAATATTTTAGTTAATCACATACCCGATCTGAGTAGCCATGCATTTATTTGTTGTGAAATTAATTTCAAAAAAGCCCAAACAAAAACCAATTATAATATCACGCAGAGACTTACATTCCATTGATGTCGAACAGTTTCAATTAGATCTAAAGTCGATGAACTGTGAAACCATCAACACCCTGAATGACGTTAATGATATGGTATCTCTTTTTAACACAATGATGTTAACCATATTTGATATTCATGCGCCTCTTTGCACAAAAACTGTAAGACATTTACAATATCCCTGGATCACTTATAATATAAAAAAAATTATGAAACTCCGGGATGAAGCTGGTTTAGTAGCACGTAAATCTGGTTCAGAGATACATAACTAAAAAAATACTGTATTGAGGCGCTTCGCAAAGAAAAACAGGCATACTATGACTACTATATCAACAATACTAAAAGAGATCCTAAAGCCATATGGTCACACATAAAAAAAATGTAAGGTTAAAAGTAAACCAGAACTACCGTATCATATTTTTAATGATCCCAAGTTAATTAATACCAGCTTTTTAAATGTTCCTGGACATGATCAAATACTTACTTCTAACACGTCTTTCTTTGAATCTCATATAAAAGTTTCAAGTAAATTTAAGCTAAAGACAGTACAGGAAATTGATATTTTAAAAATAGTACAGTCATTAAAATCAAATGCGGTTGGCGTAGATGGCATATCCCTTAATATGCTCGAAATGTCAATACCCAACACAATATCTGTTATCTATTCTATACATATAATAAATCTGTAGAAAAGTCGTGTCTGTAATTCTATTATTTTTTGAAAAAAACAAGTCCAGGTGACTAAACAAGCGGTACTGAAACCAAATTAGTAGTTTTTAGAATTTTTGTCTGTCTGTCTGTCTGTCTGTCTGTCTGTGTATTACGGATTCACTCATAAACTACAAGACGGATTTACATGAAATTTTGTAAGTGGGTAGTTAAGAACCCGGGGCAACTTATAGGCTACTTTTTATCCGATTACGGAGCATCAAAAAAAGAAGGTTATGTTTTTTTACCTTTCTTTGGAGTTAATTTTATAATTTTATAATAAGTGCATAAAATGTCATTAGTCTTAAGGTAGATTACATAAAGTTTTTAATTTGTAATGTATATTTATAACTGAAGCTTAATATACTATGTTAACCGTTGAAACTTAGTTTAAAACTTCACCGACTACGTTGTATGTTTATAAGACAGTGCCATCTATTATTAAAATGCAAAAAGTGTTACGTTTTCCCTTCAGGCACTAATAAATTATTTATTATACATATTAAAGTTTTATTAAAAAATATAAACATTTATAGAAGCTTTTTATATGTATGTATTGCTTTTAAATTTTGTCTATCGTTATGAAAATCAAGTTTAATTTAAATACATAATAGCGCCATTTAAGAAAAAGTAAGTTACAATGACGGCATCCACACCTTTTTCTGCCACCAGTGTGGCGCCACTTGTGAAGGTGAAGTGAGGTATAATATTTGACAGATATCAGGGCGGGGAAGTTAATTTGTTCGAAAAATGTAAAGGTTAATGTTTCTTTCTGTACTGTTGCTATATTTTATATTTTTAAAATTAAAAATACATAATATTCATGAAAGTAGAAAAATTTTAAAAAGTTAAAAATGTGCAAAAAATTAAACAGCAAACCACTGACTCATTGTTTTGTGTATTAGTATAATACTCTAGAAACTGATAAACTTTTATTAAAAACTTACTTCTCCATTAAATGACATTGTGTAACAAAAAACTTTATCTCAGTGTCAACTAGCGACATCTGGTGAGCAGAAAATTATTAGCCGTCATTAAACAGTATGGTTCTCTAACTACGTCACTTCACGGCGACTATTTAAATTGTATATATTATTTAAATTGTATATATTATTTGTATAAATACATAATAAACAATTATAATTTTTAGTTAGGTCCTTTTCTATCCTATAATAGGAATATAACTATTTTTTTTTATGAAATATATATTGGTACAATGATAATTGTTTTATTTCACTATTTTCCGTTACGTTCCGTTAGATGTCATTGCTGAACATCTACCTCGCGTAGGTAAGATTTTTCGTGAGTTTTCTTAATGACACATTATTTTATATCTACTCAATATGATAATTTGTAAAAGTTGTTATATTTGTGATTTCGGATAAGGATTTTATTTTGTGTTTTGGTTGTTGAATAAATTTTAAATAATGCCGCAAAAAAAAGAAAAGTAGTCTTTCTCAATACACTACAAGGGCTAAAAGGATGAGACAAGTTCGATCGCAAGAGACAAATGAGGACCGTGAGCACCGTTTAGCTTACAATAGATAACAAACTGCGGAATCTCGGGCATCAGAGTCCAGTTTTAATAATGAAACGCGCTTAGCTACAGATCGCGAACGTCACGCGTTGTCTCGCGCTTCGGAAACATTAACAAATTACTCTCAGCGTTTAAAAGTAGACCGTGAACGTCATATCGAGTCTCGAGCTTTAGAGACGTTTACGGAGCATTCAGAAAGGTTGACTGCAGACCGTGAACGTCATGCTGAAAGTCGCGCTTCAGAAACGTTTACGCAATATTCAGACCGCTTGACAGCAGACCGTGAGCGTCATGCTGAGTTTCGCGCTTCGGAAACATTTACGGAGTGTTCAGAACGGTTGACTGCAGACCGTGAACGTCATGCTGAGTCTCGCGCTTCAGAAACGTTTACTCAATATTCGGAACGCTTGACTGCAGACCGTGAGCGTCATGCTGAGTCTCGCGCTTCAGAAACGTTTACTCAATATTCGGAACGCTTGACTGCAGATCGTGAGCGTCATGTCGAGTCTCGCGCTTCGGAAACATTTACGGAGTGTTCAGAACGGTTGACTGCAGACCGTGAAAGTCATGCTGAGTCTCGCGCTTCAGAAACGCTAACTCAATATTCGGAACGCTTGACTGCAGACCGGGAACGTCATGCAAGATCACGTGCTTCGGAATCATTTACTCAATATGAAGCGAGGTTAGCAGCAGATAGGGAGAGCCGTTCGGTAAGTAGGACACATGAAACCCAGCAGGAGCATGACTTACGCTTAGAATTGGCAAGGGGATATTATGAAAATTCGCTTCAACACCGTAACGAACTTTTGTCTTTACAAAGGGAAAGAGTGCAAGCAATTAGGAGTAACGAGACAGAGAGTGAACGTGCAATTCGGTTACAAGCTGATCGTATTCGTACTTTTATAAATCGTTCACCCACCTTTACTCCGCCATCTATGGACAGAGAGAACTACACTGATCTCCCTTGGGTTGATAAAGAAAATAGTGGTTTTACCTACACTTTTAATATTGACTATAGTGAATTTGCCGAGATCGGAAGAATGATTCGCACTTGTAGTCATTGTCAATCACTTAAGTGGTCTAAAGAATCAAACGGGTTTTGCTGTTCAGCTGGCAAGGTACAATTGGAAATATTTCAAGAGCCCCCAGAACCTCTTAAATCGCTACTTAATGGGGACCATCCACATTCCAAGCAGTTTTTAGACAATATCCGTTCATACAATGGGGCATTCCAGATGACTTCTTTCGGGGCCAAGCAAGTGGTACATGGAACATTTATGCCTACTTTTAAAGTGCAGGGGCAAGTCTACCACTTAATTGGTTCGCTTTTTGCCTGAGACAGAACCAAAGTTTTTACAAATATATTTCGTTTCTGATTACCATGAACAAGCCAATATAAGGAGGCAGAATTTCCCAAATTTAAACGCTAATGTTATCTCAGAGCTTCAGGGCATGCTTCATCAGGTCAACCCTTATGTATCCAATTTCAAAGCTGTACTAGAGTCGATCCCTCAAGATGAATACAATAATTATAAGTTTGTTATTAGCGCGGATAAGCGACCTTTAGTGCAACATTCCGGCCGTTATAATTCTCCATCCACCAATGAAGTGGCAGTTGTCCTGGTGGATCAGCAATGCGACAAGCGCGACATTATAGTACGCACGCGTGATGACCGCCTGCAACGAATTAGTGAGACTCATCGTTCTTACGACTCCTTACAATACCCACTTATTTACTGTCGCGGTGAAGATGGTTACAACTTTACGGTTTATCAAGTTGACCCCGCTACAGGAGCACCTCGGTTAGACAGAAAAGTTTCGGCTCTGCAATTTTATTGTTATCTCATGCAAATAAGACAACGTCGTTTTGTATATTTACAACGATTTCGTGGCTTATTTAACCAGTTTATTGTTGATATGTACGCAAAAGTTGAAACAGAGCGTTTAGTATTCATTCGTACTCATCAGAGACAGTTGCGTGCCGAAAATTATGTGGATCTTCATGATGCAGTACAGGGAGATACACACATAGAAAATTTAGGACGTTTAGTTATATTGCCTTCCAGCTTTATCGGGAGTCCCCGAAATATGAATGAACGCGTTCAAGACTCATTCTGTTATGTTCGCAAGTATGGTAGGCCAGATCTTTTCATAACAATAACTACTAACCCTAAATGGATCGAGATTTCTCAAGAGCTGCTAGAAGGTCAAGCATCGTACGATCGACACGATTTAATTAGTCGAGTTTTTTATTTAAAGTTAAAGTTGTTAATCAACTTATTAACCAAGCAAAACGTTTTTGGCGCTACGTCATGCTATACATACAACGTGGAATGGCAAAAAAAGAGGGCTGCCCCACGCTCACATTCTTCTATGGTTATTACAAAAAATTCGTCCTAATGACGTTGATAATATAATAAGTGCAGAATTACCAAATCCCACAAATGATCCTATTTTACACCAAATTGTTAAAACACAGATGATACACGGGCCTTGCGGTGCATTAAATAATAATTCTCCGTGCATGAAGGATGGACAATGTACGAAAAAATATCCAAGACCCCTTTTAAGAGAAACAATCACTGGTGAAGATGGTTATCCCAAATATCGGCGGCGTGCTCCACAGTATGGAGGATTCACCACAAAATTGAGAATGTTTGGACAAGATGTAGAAGTAGATAACAGGTGGGTAGTGCCGTACTCACCTGTGCTATCGAGAACTTTCCAAACCCATATAAACGTAGAAATGTGTAACAGTGTTGAATCAATTAAATACATTTTTAAGTATGTAAATAAAGGGACGGATCAAGCAACACTTGCAATGAGCAACGACAGATTTGACGAAATTACAAGATTTCAATCAGGGCGATACATAAGTTCTTCGGAGGCAGCATGGCGAATATTCAGTTTCCCAATAAGCGAGCGTAATCCCCCGGTAATGCATTTAGACGTTCACGTGGAAGGCGGACAACGCGTATATTTTCACCCAGACAATATTGTGGAGCAACTAGAAAATCCTAGACAAACAACTTTACTGGCGTTCTTTCGATTATGCGAATCTGACGATTTCGCAAGAACTTTGCTTTATGACGAAGTTCCAGCGTATTATACATACGATAAGCAACACAGGATTTTTAATCGTCGCCGACGTGGTATTCCTGTTGAAGGTTTTCCCAACCTTTTTAAAGAACATGTGCTCGGCAGAGTGTACACTGTACATCCCAATAACTCCGAATGTTTTTACGTACGTTTACTTTTGCATACAGTACGAGGACCCACATCATTTTTGGCTTTGAAAATGTTCAACAACACTCAATATCCTTCTTTTCAAGCTGCTTGCCGGGCTCGAGGGTTATTGGACGACGACCAGCACTGGGACAACACCCTCGCTGAAGCATCTGTTAGTGATAGCCCGCGTCGTTTACGGAATTTATTTGCGGTGTTGTTAGTATTTTGTGGCCTTTCAGATGCTAATCAACTTTGGGTTAAACACCAGAAAAGTTTAGCTGAAGATTACATTAATTTTGAACATGGTGAACTAAATCAAGAGATGCTCAATGATGTATTGAATCGTTGTTTGTGTGATATACAAAACACAGTTTTTTCAATTGGTGGTAATCCCTTAATACGCTATGGATTACCTGAACCAATCTTAAATGTCGAACAAACTAATCGAGAGTATGCAACGGAATCCAATTACGACTCAGAGGAACTGGCCCAAATTCTTCAAGTAGGTGTACCTATCATGACCCCCGAACAAAGAATTATTTTTGATCGTATATGTAACAGCGCTTTGAACACCTCTGGTGAAATGTTTTTTTTGGATGCCCCTGGCGGTACTGGTAAAACATTTCTTACGAAACTTATCCTTGCGCAAATACGTAGCCAGGGAAAAATTGCATTGGCCGTGGCATCGTCCGGAATTGCAGCTACCTTACTTCCAGGAGGCAAAACTGCACATTCCATGTTCAAAATACCCACACAATTAGACGTCACTGAAACCCCCGTTTGCGACATTTCACGTAATAGTGACATAGCTCGAGTACTTCGTGAGTGCACCTTAATTGTATGGGATGAATGTACAATGGCGCATCGCAAAGCAGTAGAAGCCGTCAATAGAACGCTGCAAGATATACGACACAACAATGAACTTATGGGCGGAGTCACTATGCTCTTCTGTGGAGATTTTCGGCAGACATTGCCAATAGTTACACGCGGGACAAGAGCCGATGAAATTAGCGCATGTTTAAAAAATTCAATTCTTTGGCCCCATATTACAAGGTTAAATCTCACCACAAACATGCGAGCGCAAAGAGGCGAGAACACAAATGCTCAAGATTTCTCACAGTTATTATTGAGTATTGGTGAAGGTAGGTTTCCTGAGGTTGATGGTAGAATAGATTTAATTAATAATTTGTGCAAAAAAGTCCTTAACATTGAGGAACTTATTATATCTGTTTATGAAGATCTGGCTGGTATAGTAAACCAAGGAAACTCTTGGCTTTGTGAGCGCGCTATACTTACGCCTCGTAATGATCAAGCTGTAAGTATCAACATGACCATTTTAGAACGTATTGAAGGGGAGAATGTTACCTATACGTCAATAAATAGAGTAGTTGACCGTGAAGAAGTAACAGCATATCCTGTAGAGTTTTTGAATGCATTAACGGCGTCTGGGCTCCCTGCACATGAAATTAAACTTAAGGTAGGGATCCCCATAATTCTTTTAAGAAATTTAAGTCCACCAAAATTATGCAATGGTACTCGGCTCAAAGTAGTTGCTCTCCAGAGACATGTGGTTGAGGCAGAGATACTTACCGGTTGCGGTGCGGGTGAGAAAGTTTTTATTCCACGAATACCGATTATTCCGAATAACTTTCCGTTTCGTTTTAAACGGGTCCAACTGCCGGTGAGTGTTTGCTTTGCAATGACGATAAATAAGGCACAGGGTCAAACGCTAAGCAGAGTAGGCGTTGACCTTACGAACAGCTGCTTTTCACATGGGCAGCTCTATGTGGCAATGTCGCGTATCAGCGATCCCACTAATTTGTTTATTTTAGCACCACAAAACAAAACGGTGAACATTGTTTATGAAGAGGTCCTTTGTTAACTGAATATATTTTTTTACATTTTCTTTTACTTTTGAAGTTCTAACAAAACCGTGATTAAATAAATAAAACCATTAAATTAAATTGCATATTTATATCCCCTTTTTGACTCCTTGTTTTGTATTTATTAAGATTTTATTATTCGAAAACCAGAAATGGATTAGGTGGTAGATAGCTGGCATTAGGTTTTCTTAAAATGTGGATATTATCATAAAATGGCTAATCCTTGCCATCAAGTCATCCAAAATTAAAAGTAAAAAATTTGATCTATTTTAGCCTTTTTCACGAAGCTAACGTTCAGGTAGGTATAAAATAATCTGCTTGATTATAATAAACATATAATTATATATACTCTGTTTGAAAATATAAAAGAATTGGAGAAAAAGATTACATGCGAACGAAGTCGCGGGCACAGCTAGTAACAAATATAATTAACAAATCTATAGAAATCCATACATATCCCACAGAATGGCAACACGCTTTGGTCAGACCTATTCCTAAAAACGCAAATCCAACTAACATGAAGGACATCCGCCCGATCAGCATATTGCCCTGTGTGTCAAAGATTTTAGAGAAGGTTGTGGTCGAGCAGCTAAGAAAGTATTTGTAAACAAATGAAATACTCCCTAGTTTACACTCGGGTTTTAGGCAACATTATAGTACAACTACCGCTCTGATTAAAGTAATCGATGATATTCTGTCAGACCAGGACTCTGGAAAAGGCACAATATTAGTTCTACTAGACTTTTCTAGAGCATTTGACTGCTTGAATGTACCATTACTTTTGTCAAAATTGCACTATTATGGTTTCGACGTAACTGCGGTGAAATGGTTTGAGAGCTACTTTAAATATCGCGCACAGCGAGTAGAAATTTCTGACCATAGAGGGTTGCCGCTAGTTTCCGATTTCAAGGTTGTGAAACAAGGTGTACCTCAAGGCTCAATTTTAGGACCACTTTTGTTTGCTATGTACTGTGCAGATATGGTAGATCACATCAAACATTGTAGATATCATATGTACGCTGATGACACACAGATTTACATATCATGTAAGCCTGAGGAAACTCAATCAGCAATAAACAAATTAAACAAAGATTTAGAAGGCATTGCTGATTGGTCAAAATCGAATGCTCTTGTTTTAAACGGAAATAAGTCAAAGTATATGATTCTAGAAATGGCTAAGCAAATTCAAAACATTGCGAATCAACAGCTTCATGTCACCATAAAAAGGGGAACAAATTGAACGTGTGACTGAAACTCGCAATTTAGGTCTGCTTATGGATGATCGTTTGCGCTTCGAGAATCACATACTTAATACTGCTAGAAATTGCTTCTACAGACTTAAAGTCCTGTATCAAATTAGAAATTTCCTGAACACAGATATTCGAATAAG